AAGTGCAATCATCTTGCCAACCTGTACTAATAGGTTAATCATTTTCAAAAGGTGGGGAACTCAAACAGGAATATAAAGAAGAAACATCCTGAAGTCACAGACTGATGATGTAGACTTTAATTAAGAATATCTGTTTGAGATTAGTGTCTTGAGGGGCAGCAGCAGCTTAAGGCATGTCCTTGGCATTTGCCAAGAACTGAGGCAAGTACTGCGATACATGAAGCTTGACAGTTTGATGTGTTAGTACTGTTGAGCTTTACATCAGTGCTGATGATTTTTGTAAGCTCAGGTCGCTAGAATGAAGGCTTAACATAGGGAAAGCTCTCGGGGAAGTGAGAAAGAGGAATCCACCTGATGTACTGCAAATCTCACTCACAATTTTACTTCCTCAGAGTTTCTATTAAACTCCCCAAGGCAGTTATTTATTTGACTTGAGACAAACACACGCTAAAAAGCTTTGCAGATACTGTTGCCATCCCATCTGGTTTATGGAGGTGATAATTCAATCATTCCGAGTAGTAATAATGACTTGAATATTTTGTGATGGGTAGTACTTCAATCTAATTGACTACATACATTATGTCACAAGGTATTCATGGTTTTCCCCAGTCAAACCAGGAACCAAAGCATTAGACATTTCCAGTAAAAAAACAAAAATGATAATACACTACATTTAGAAATACAATAAAAGTTTTTGTTTGAAAAATCAGATGCAACTGAAGTCGGTTTTAAAGGCAGCTACTCTTAAAATATCACCGTAAGATATTTACCTAAGGAATTTATCAAATTGGAATCAGCACTCCACATGCCTTGCAAAGCAATTCTATAGGATAAGAGAATCTTGGGTATTTACAGGACAGAATTTAGAGAATTTGGCTGTAAAGTTCTTGCATATGTCAATCTATCTAAGATCATTTCTAAGGTGGTCATTTCATGATGTTTCAGCAATTGTTCCTAAATGACTGAAAATTATACTTCTCATTTACTTTTTCAATCATTTACAATAAACTGTCTGAAAAGATTCTTCATAGTTGTTGCAAGATTTTATTTTGTCTTCAATTTAAGAGGAGTAATTTTAGTGACTTGCATCATCTAAATTTTCATAAAATATTCATTCACTATCCAGCAGAGTACTTTGTATAAATTACATTTTAAGAACATTAGACTTTAAATTTTATTCTGAAGAAATGAGTTTTTAAATAAAAGCATGTATCCATCTAGCTTGTATTTTTATTAAATGAAATCTATAGATAATAATTAAAATGTCTTTTTCTTTTTTTTCTTGAAGTTTTTTTGATAACAAATCACAGAGCATTTTATTAATTCTTTCAGATAAATAGAAGCCATTGTTCCCTCTGATATCTGATGAGAACCAAATTAAGAGGGAAAGAGGACTCCCCACTGAAGCATCTCCAGAGGCTGTCTGTCCTCACTGTTTCCTCCCAAACCCATAACAATTGTCCTTTCTTTCTCTATCAATGCTAGCATAATGCTTCTGTGTCCTAACCGCATCATAGATTTATTTATAGGCTCTCAAGTAGATTGTGACGCTCTTAAAGGAAACCAGCAAGTTTTGTATCATTTATATACATCTCATAATATCTACCCAAACTCAGCAAAGAATAAAAAGAACCAAACAAACAAACAAAAAAAGTTAGGAAACATATCTTTGTACAATGTGACAGTCTTAAATTCCTCACTATACCCATCAATTCAAGAATTCAAGATTGCTTTTTGTCTAAAAATGTGCATAGTGAAGTGATTTATGTTCTTCCAGGTGGAAAAGTCAGGGCATAACTTTTGTTTCACTTATCCTGCTTTGGCAACAGTAGATTCACAGTGGGGGAGTTTCCCTCTGAGGGGACCACAAAGACTATGGAATAAACTGGAGTTTTGCAGCTTATCTGGGACTAACAGGAGATATCTATGAATATGCAAATCTACGCATACAAGTGCAAATATAGTGATGTATAAGAGCACAGCAATAAATATATGATATAAAAAAAAAGTTAGGGGCCTGGAGGTTTAGTGCCTGCTTGGGAAGTGTGAGGTCATGAGTTCCATCTCTGATATATATATAAACAAATTTTCTCTGAACAATGAGATAATATAGTAGCCATTGTTTGTTTTCTGTTATTTGGTTCTGAATGCCTTGTGATACTTTCATTCTCTTTAATGGTTTTATACTATTTTGTTATGTTTGATACTATTGTATGTGAAGGTATGCTCAACTACTTCAAAGAAAGAGACATTATGGTAGCTACTATTAATTACAGGTTGTCTTGTGGTGAAATACTGTGTTGCTTACATTGTTCTGTTCTGATGTTCTTTGTTATGTCCTCTTTTGTCTTAATCTCTTTAAAATAAAACAATTTAAAATATATATATGATATATAATTAAAATATTTCTATCTAAGTCTATATTTATAAATATCTAAAGAGAGATACAGAAAAATTGATTTAAAGATTTGAGGCTGTTTGACCTGTACCATAACAGTATCTACGCCATGTGTAGTCACGGTACCTGTTGCACTGTGTTAATTTTGATCTTGACATTCAAAGTTATTCATGAACATGAACTTTCTTTCCCACATGAAAAATTACGATCCAGTCCTTCTCAAACCTGACTGTCCAATCTGACCAGGAGTCTCGCTGATTGTTACACAGGAAATCACGTCTCTGCATATCACCTAGGTCCATGATCTTTTTTCCAAATTCATGAAACAGTTTTCTTACTTCCTCCACGATCTAAATGGTAAGGCTTTACAACTTCCATAGGGTCTTCTTCTTAGAGAAACTGTCTACAATGACCTCCCAATTTTTTCCTTTTATAAGTCTTCAGGACTCTGTGCCTAACACTTGATGCCCTCAGAATCATTCTCTGGAGCCAGGATGTAGCTCAGTGGCACAGTGCTTGACTGACAAACATAAGGTCATGAGTTCAATTCCTAGAACCAAAAACAAACGAAATCATCTTCTGCTGTGTCCTGGTATGCTGTATCTCTTCAACTGCATCAAAATTAACTCAATATACACCATAAATTTGTTCAAAGCTAGGCATATATTAGGAGGTCAATATACTTAAAGGTATTCATTCATTTCATTGGTTCTTTCACTGACTCATACAACCAAAGTCCTATACCTCAGTGGGCAATGGATACCAAAAAGCTGCTATGAGAAAAAGAGAAAACTTCTCTCACAAAAACTTCAAAATGTATAAGGAGAAAAGAAGTGTGATATTAAACCAATACCAAATATATATTTTTTCCAAAGGAAGAGGTAATGGAATCAGAAGAGAGTAGCTTTTAGGATGAAAAGAGTATTGTAGGAGTAAGTGTGTTGCATTCACTGTTCATTCGTTCACCTCTCATTCATTCATTCCATAAATACTTCATAATTTTGGGCAACATGCAAGGTTCTAGCATGCTTTGGAAATGCTGAAATGAAACATTGGAAAGTAGTCTTTACTCATGGGGTGGGGGGGGATGACAGTGAATAAACCAACAGATTACAGCTTAGTTTAAAAAACTGTATTTCCTTAATAGTATTGTGACAGATAACACGTTCTCAGCATTGCTGGTTTGGATTAGTAAAAACAGCACTCATGCCACCATTTCACCCTGTACATTTCATCTTTGATAGAAGTAGACCAGAAAAGGAGAAATGCCTACATTTGACTCTTCCTAAGCCTGATGAAGAAAAACACAATAATTTTCATGGCTGATCTACTACCTTTAAAACATATCAAACACATTCATTTTAATTAACATCACTAAACACTAAGAGACATTAGCCACTACTTATCTAGTTTAAAATCCAATGCTTAATTTAGAAAAAGACTAAAATATAATCTAAACACCTAGTTAAAAGAAATACCTCATTAAGCTTTCATTGTTATTGGTTCATAATTACTGTTTATTTCATGCCTAGTTTGAATGGCTCTCACGAAATCCACTCAACTATAATACCCAGTCGTGGTGAATTTTTTTTCCCTCACATACCTTCAAATTGCTTTTCATTTTAAAGCAGCTTTTCTTAAAAATACTTCTACTCTACTTCTTCCCGGCCAGTGTTTTCTCTGGAGAAAGAAGAGGGCTATTTTTTCTCAATCCAATGTACGTCAATTAACATATACTAAACGGCCACCAAGGGTTTTAAAGGTGAGTAAACCACAGCTCATTTCTTCAATGAATTTGTAATGTATTGCATAGCTCCAGGACGTTTTTTTCAAAGAGTCAATTGATAGGTCAAAGAAGATTATCTTCATGTGCCCCAATAGATTTTCAAATCATCCATGTGCTAAGGATGATGCTTCATTAAATTACTCATTTTTTCTCATTCTAGAAGCTCAGCAGGGAAAATACATAGATATATTCTTCTGACTGCAGTAACATACCATCCCTGCCCAGAGAAGAGGCAACCAAATACCTTTCTACACTAACCAAGAATTCCTTGACCTCTTTGCCATCCAGCAAGTTCCTTTAGGTTTCTTTTTCATAAGATGTTGATACTCTGTCAGTCAACTACGACCTCCCTCTCAACACACTTTATTATAACTGCCACTTTCTCACAGTGGCTGGAGCTTTTCACAACACACAGACATTTACACGCTTTAGAGAGACTAAAGAAGAGCTTATATATAAATCACCTCCATATCTGACGACTTCAGAAATCTTGGAGCCGTCAGAAGAAATAAATTCCTTTGACTAATTTTAAATAAAGTTAATGCAAAACTGCCATGAAAACTTGACTATTTTAAACACAAGTCTTATTTAATTCTTAGGTTTCTGCACTGAAATAAATTTGCTGGTAATATTTTAATAAACTTACCATGAGCCAGATTGGAAAATGAATGTTTATGACATTTTGAGTAAGAACTTGTTTTCAAAGCATTTCTGAAGATTCTGTATCTCAGCATAGGACACTGGCAAACCACAGTCAGTGAGGGTTACACATTACCTTATTTCCTAAGAGATTAAACCTTTGTTTAAGACACATACCCAAATGCTGTCTTCTTGTCGATATTGCTTCCAGTTCCTGCCGCTGTCACTGAACATCAGGAGGTAGCTGGTCACCCAGTTGGAACTCCCGTAGCCCCCTTGGGTGGCGACAGAGGTGATCTCCATTCTCTCTCCAAGGTCAATCTGCAACCACTGGTATTTATTCGACACGAGTGGGGACCAGCCACCAGCTCCTTATGTGAAAGGAGAAAAATATTGGAAAGAAAGAATTAATTAAAAATCCATTAGTGGAATAGAAATGCCAGTAAGACTGCATTCCTCTATGGAATTTAAGTTTTCTAGAATATGAAATTTCCACAATATGAAGCCTCTCATAATTATAGAAATATATATATATATATAAATAATTTACTATAAGTAGTTGGAAATAGCACACTTACTGCTCACATGCAGGACTGAGTTATACTTTGGCCTTCAATCCTTTCACCCAAGATGGATATAAAAGGATATCATTCAGGTCCATTGTGTCTATAAAACTATTTTAGGTCATCTTCAGATTTGTCAGAGATTAAAGTACAATGTGTTATTAAGCACTAACAAGCAAATGTGGCCAAGGAGTGATCCTGTCCTCCAAGAGGGCCTGACAGCAAAAAGCATGTTTGAAACTCAGCATGGATAACATTAGTGGTGTGCCATGTGCAGGGAATAAATTGGAGAGTTCCATAGAGTGGTGGATTGGACTTGGCTTACAATAATGAGAAGAAATGACTGCTAAATTTTCAAATTTGCAAGCCAGTTAACATACCATCTTTGTAACTAGACATGGTGCAAGTACTTAAAGGAAATTGGCCAACTCTACTAATAAGCACCCACTCCCACCACAGTGAGGTTACCAAGGCACCGTTGCCTCCATCTCACCTGAGTACAAAGGTCAGGGGTGAGAGGTGGAAGGGGAGCCAGGAAATACAACAGAGCCAGTTGCCGGAAAGCCAGAGATGGAACACTCCGAAAAGAAAAATGGGAGTTTGATATATGCTCAAGGAAGTACGGGTAGAGCAGAATCTGTGATTTATTTTGCCTGACACATACAGCACTGTAGCTAGCTGTGGCTCCTGTCTTGTTCAAATGTTTCCTTTTTCTAGCTTACTACAATTCAGGAAATTCATTTCTTTTAATATTGACATTGCCGGTTATGTGACTAACACATAATCATTGCAAATCTCCTGATATAGTAGTTTATACTTCCCAGAATCCTTTATCTGCTACTCAATTATCTATTAAAATTCAACATGTATTATGTAACCTCTCAAATGAGCATATTACATATACGTTCTCTTTCCCTCATTTTTTTTTCCACCCACTTTGAGGCTGTAATAAGGTCTGAAATTTTAAATAGAAATTACGATGAATTTACATACACTTTTTATTTGAACATTATTCTTGAAATCCGTGACCTATTTTGTGAAACCTTGAATTTGGCCTCAGTTCAAAGAGATACCCAGTAAGCTCTTGCTATTAGCATGAGGGCACACCCCACTGAGAGGTCTAAAGGGATACACCCATATTAAAAAGTGTTTTTAAGATTGAAAGATTCTTTTAGTGGTGGAACCCAATGCAATGGCACTCTGACAGATGAAAGGCAGAATTATTTCTTACTTGCACTGCAGAGTGAAAGAAGGCTGCCAAGCCTGGCCACAAAGTGTTGAGCCAGGAGACAAGATGACAACAGGCTGAAGCTATCAGCAGTGGCTTAAATATGGCAAGTAGGCAAAGTCAGCTGGATCTTTTGGGCTCCCTGTGGATTGACTAATATGAATAATTTCTCTAGGAGGTTCTGGGACACAGGTGCTGTCTCTAGTTGTCTGGTACCTGGCTTTGGTGTGACAGGGCTGATGCATAATGACCCAAGACAGAGCCCAATAAAGGAAGTGGTTGGGATGTCCATATGATCTATGGCACAAGAAAGACCAGCCTCCAGCCAGGCCCTCGAAGCTGGCCCATAAGGGCCACTTACTGTTTGCAGCTGTTTTCTATGTGGAAATTGTGCTCGGATGATCTGAAGCACACTTTAAATATCACCCTGCCACAGACAGCTTGGGGAGCTCTTGGACCTCAGTGGAAACAGCTCACGTAGCATCACATGGGTCAAGCAACATTTTTTAAAGTTATTTTGCAAAAATATCCTTTACTAATGACTCCCACTAGCTTCTTCTTGCATTACCATATAATTCCCAATATTACTCACAACACTGTGTTTAGAAGTAGATTCATTTTACGAGTTTTTTTTTTTCCTTAAAGTGAATTCTCCACTCCATATACCTCAAGTATAATACCCTCCTTTGTAGGTCCAAAATGTTTAATACATAGAGCTATTTTTCATTAGTGTGGTTTTACTTTTAATATTCTTTATATTTGCCCTTGAGGAACTTGTGACATGAAGCAGTTTTCTTGGTCACTAATATGATCCACCTCATTTAGGGTAGAGTGGAACAAAGCATTAGAGCTTCTCGGGCAGACACAGGTTCTGGGTGAATTATGGGCACCTGTGTCCTTTGTTTAGCACTGCTGTCTGCTGCCCACGAGGGCCACTTATTTCTTGCAGCTGTTTTCTATGTGGAAATCGCACTTGGATGATCTGCAGTACACATTAAAGAGCACCCTGCCACAGACAGCTTGGGAAGTTCTTGAACCTCAGTGGGAACTGCTCACACAGCGTCACTTTAAATCTGAGCCGAAGCTTCCTGCAAACTTCATTCCTCAGAGGCAATGGGACAACATCCATCCTCCTCCACTTATGCCACTACAGGGGACTTGGTATTTATTAAGCAAGTGAGTACTTTGTGTCGGGCCCTTTCTGTGAAGCACTGTGATTTAATTCTTAAAGCAACCTGTTTAATAGAAGATGAATCAGATACACAGGGCTTGAACATCCTGTCCTTTCCCACAGAGCAGGCAAGAGACCCAGGGCTTTTAACAAGGCCACAAGAGTGGCTCTCATCATCATGGTACATAAACAGTAGATCAAACAGATGTAAAAAGACAGTGCTAAGAGAGAACAGGGATCCTTGGGACTTAAGTACCAGGCAGTACGATCAGCTTCCCTCCCTCTGATAAATGATGGGCTATGTCTTTGAAACACAGGCACAGGATGAGGCTGGTGAATGGGTAACTATGTCCCTCCACTTTCTTATCTAATATTACTGTTACACTCCACGACCTATCAAAACCTTGGAGTGTAGTGCTAGCTAAGAATCCTTACCTCTTATTACCACAACTGCACGTATCTCTGAATTTTTATCATGTTAGGAAAGTGCCCCCAGCAGCTACCATCTTGGAGGTTCCACATTAAGAAATTTTATCTATATCAGCTTATGTCTCTGAAAAAGTACTGATTATTTTGCTTCAGCTCTTTCTAGTTGATTTTAATGATCTAAAATCAGTAATGAAGATATGCTCTTTTTTAAATTTAACAGCATTCCTCCAGCGTTGCAGCACACCTTAATAGACCAGTATTTAAAAAGCAAACAAGAGAGAAGCACAGCAAGGAAAAAAAGACTCAGCGTTATCCTAGTGGGTTAAAATTGGATCATCAATTCTCATCAGGACAAAGAAGAGCCCCTCACTGCCTGCTCCCTCTCCCCAGCATCGCTCACGGTTACAGCCACACTAGCCAACTTGAAAAATTTGCAGTTAATTGACCTTGAACATTTCAATTTCTTACCGGTGGTGGAAAGGTACCACTGGTATGTAAATTAAGCTATATCATTAACAAGGTACGCTGATAAGGTAATGGAAATTAACGTGCTCCTAGGCAAGTAACTTCAGCAGGATAAATAGACTGCGAGGAATCCAAAGATTCCTATTGGGGTTTAAACTGTGGGCTCTGCAGATGTTTGGGGTATAAGTCTATGATGAGGGTGCTTGTTTAATTTTAAGACAAATCTTGAATAGCAATATGGAGAATGTAAGATGAATGGATGGATGCAAGAGTAGATGGACAGCCATTGAGGGATCTTGGCAGACTATGATGCCAAGGTATGCCAGCCTATGATGACAGGTCAGAACAATAGCAGTGCATATGCAAACACAACTGAGGTTAGACTGCACACGTGCAGGCCCACGACCCATCGAGCTTCCCTTCTGGAGATACACTGTTAGCATATTTACTTTTCTAACGTAGAAAATAATGGCTAATTCTCTAGCAAATTATAAATTCTGGGTTACTATAAATAAAACACTATAATGAATTCTTTATTTTGTTTATTAACTAAACCTTTCAGCTGCTAGTCGTGCTATTTGTCCTTAATGTGCTTTTAATATGCTAATATATTCAATATCACAGTAAACCAATACCTATAAAACTAAAGACCATCTTTTCTTAACCTCATCTGTTCTGTGGTTACTGATACTTACGCCGCAAAGTCCCTCTGGTTCATTTTTCTTTCCCATTACACAGGCTCTCTTTCCCTATCCCATCCTCCTTTTTATCTGCCTTCAGCTTCTTACTGAGATTTGGCACATTAACTGTCATCCATCGATTCAAATGGGAAAATTTCTTAACTCTTTATATTGCAGCCTAGAAATTCACATTTTAAAACAGAACTCTCCTGCATCATAAGATTCTTAAATATTGTAGTATTGGTCTGAGAATTAAATTTTAAAAGCATATTAGATGCCTATTGATTTCTCTCATATCCAGCAAGCACAAGAGTATATGACAGTTGTAAATTTCTGAGTTGTGAAAAAATTATTATTTCTATTGGCTCCAAAGAGTTGTGATCACAGTAAAACTGGGCTATGAAAAAATTTAGTGGCTAAATGACCACACAATCCAGCATCTCTTCAATCTGTTGCCTACCAATTTTAAATGTCAGTTCATGAAGAAAACTGCTTCTAAAATATATGAAGCTCTGAGTTATAAGAAAAAAAATCAACTAAAAATTATTCAGTACCAATTTTATGCTGAACACTACCAGAAACTGTATGTACCATATTAAACTTAATTATTAAGACTGGTGAGATATCTCTCATGTTGCTTCAAATAAAGACTAAAAATTTTTATAGGAGAAAATTTTCCAATATTATGAAAATTATTTTAGTGTAGGTGAGAAATTACCTAGTTTTAAAACTTTTTTAACCTATATGAGGGTGTCCCTTTTAAAATTGCCCACATTTTCGTCTTCACTACTGGAATAATTACAACCGTTACTGTTTCATAGTCATATGCTTTATC